TTTCTGTTTATTCTTTAATCATATTAACTTCAATTAGGTTATGTTGATATTTTTAACTACTTAACATAAATCAATCAATTCTTCTATTGTTCTCCAAATAGATCCTTTCAAAAGGATCATGGATGATATGTGGGGTTGACAGCCAAATACAAGCTAGAGTCTAGACTAAAGAACAAATGTATTAGCTTTGCTGAATCATTTGTCTTAAACCCTATCAAACAAAGATTGCATTAACAGAACGCAGAGCCTATATGGTATTTCTTAAAAAGCAGTCTAATAGGCAAGAATTTGCCAGGTTTTCTCCTGCTGAAGGAAGAGTATGCCCCAATATGAGAACTCCAACAGCTAATCTGTAGAGGTGGATACGAGGCAGAGGCCGATAAAACCCACAAGTGAGAGCCATCAGCTTTTCTTGCTCTGGTTCCCAGCTGTCCAAGCAAACATCTGTCTAGCATGTCTTAGGGGAGAGTGTACTCACGAGGTCACCTGAGTCTTCCCAGTCCCATGGTTATTGGCATTCTGCTTAATGTACCAGCTCCTTGTGAGTGTAGTTAGCATGAAACAGTCCCAGAGAATCTGATTGCATTTAGAAGCCCTTACAGAGAGTTCCTGACATATGAAGCCTGAAGCTTAGATCCTGGAACATGATGTCCATATCAATGTACTGCTGTTCTGGGAAGTCTTATCCAGACAGTCCCCTGGTTCAGCATCTCTTAGATCACATTCCCTTCACATCTTCTGTGCTTCACAAGTGCAATGATAATACCTCAATTCCATTTCAGTTCTTCAACTTATTAACAAGCCTATATGGCCAAAGTGAAGACTTGGCAATCTCAGATGCCAATTTAACTATTCTCCAATAAAATCCTTCCTGTCTGTTAACTGGGTAAATGAACACAATGAGGCATTTTTCACCTGGGTTGTCTAGTTATATCTGGCTTCTGACAGTATTTCACATATAAATTATTATTCATAGCCTACTTTATTTCAGGCAAAGCGAAAGACGTTGCCACCCCACAGAGAATTTCAAGATTGTTGTGGGGGAATTCTACAAAACTTGCCAAATTAGTACATGCTAGCAATTTTTTAAATAATCCATTATGTTGATGTGGGAAGACTGTGGATATAAATTCTTTAATTATCTCTCCCTTTGGCTTAATTTTAGCTTTGTGGTGTGAGAGTAGATCTGCATTTGCACTGCTGCCATAATATTTGATGGCAGTTCCACTTGGCTCCTTTCTCGGCCTGAGTTCAGGGCAATATGGCAGTTCTGTGATGTGGACACAGTTTCTATGCTAAAGCCATCCATTTTAATAAAGTAAAGGTCTGGCCCATTGAGCCTAGTTGAATACAGCTGTTGCATTGATCTCTTCTGAAGCTACAGCCGTTGAGTTCATTTCCTTAATCACATTTTCCATACGGGTAAAAGCATGAAGCTGCTTGGTATCTTCCAGAGTGCATGCATTCTAATTTCAGAATCTAATCAAACGGAACTGGCTTCCTGACAGAGTAAACCGAGCAAAATACTGTATCCAGACCAGCTGCCAAGCTAGCAGCCTGAATTTATTTTTCCTTGCTTTGCTAAATGCATCTTGAATTTTTGAAAACACAGTCCAGGTTCTGGAAATTTAGCATTTTTGAACCAAGACCAGTCACCTCTAATATTCTTCTGTAAACACATCCATTAAATTTCAAAAGTCAGGTAGCTGAGTTAATCCTTTCTTACATGTCTATGGCCAAAAATAAAACATAGTCCTCTTTTCTATTGAACACAGGGATTGTGTACATTAGACCCTTGTCATTTGGGCTAATCTAATGGTAAAGAGCACCTGTAAATATCCATGCATGTCTGTCCTGATTACGACCTCTGTACTTCTTATTTGATCCTTATAATCTAACTCATATCTGAAATCTTTCCAGGTGTTTTCTATGCCACTTTTTATATATCATTTCATATATAAATATCAAAGCTTTATTTGTAATATAGACTCAATGTAGCAACCAGGACGCATTCAGAGAAATGAAACGGTTAGCTGGGTAGACAACCTATTTCTCAAACCGCTTGGCTTGTGAAAGAGGGCTTAAGGAGGTGCAGAATGTATTACCAATTCCTTTCTTGTTGCTAATTCTAATTTTTTCACCTGCAAAACAGACTCTTTTGTTGCACATGTCTTTTATCAACCGCAAATATTTTGTTTATATTTATGCTTCGGTTTTGTTTATCTTTTACCACTATACCAAGGATGGCCTTTGGAGGAGGTGCGTATATGGGCTGAGAACTTTATCATTCACTCAGGAGATACTTAGAAGTGCACATAACCTCAAATCAAGTGGATACCACCTTCCACAAGTAGCTTACTTACACCCTGACTTCCTGAAGGCCCTGCAATTCTCCCTTCCCCCACTCCAGCTCACATCTCCAGCCCGTTTTCTAGGCTAGCCCCTAGTCATGTATCAACATTTAGCTCAGCTATCACTTCTTCCCAGAAGCCTTTTTTGCTCTCTTCTCTTCTGTTTCTTCACACTCTTTCTTGCTTTCAAATAGCATCCATATGCCAAGGACTCCCAAATGTAAATCTCTAGTCCAGCTCTCTTCTGAGCTTCAGACATTTATGAATAACTGTTTACTCAATATCACCACTTACATGGCAACTTAAGCTAAACATGCCCAAACCAAACTCATCACCCCTCCTTCAAAACACCCGAACATGGCACTAATGTTGAATTAGTTGTCTGTCGCTGTGAAACAAATTACCACAAAATCTAGTGGCTGAAAACTACAATAAACATTTGTTATCTCATGGTTTCTGTGAGTCAGGAATTTGGGATTCACTTAGCTGGGTGATTCTGGCTCAAGGTCTCTCATAAGTTTGCAGTCAAGATGTTGGCCAGGGCTGCAGTCATCTGAGGGCTTGAATGAGCATAAAAGATTCCCTTCCAAGATGGCTTACTCACATGGCTGGCAAGTTGGTGCTGTCTGTTAGTAGGAGACCCCAGTTCCTCCCCACGTGGACCTCTCCATAGGGCTCCACGCAGCTGCTTGAGTGTTCTCACAACATAGTGGCTGGCTTCCTCCAGAGCAGGTGACCCAAAAGAGAGCCAAGAGGAAGCTATAATATCCTTCATGACCCAGCCTCATAAGGCAAATGCCATCACTTTCTCAGTATTGTGTCAGTCACACAGGCTGGCCATGATTCAGTGTGGAAGGGTAATACACAAGGATGTCAATACCAGCAGACAAGGATTATTAGGACCATCTTGGAAGCTGGTTTCCACCACTGTCTTTCCAGTTGCTCATAACAAAAACCAGAGAGTCATCTTTGACACCTTCTCTCTCAGCCACCTCCAGTCAGTACCAAGTCTAGTCTGCCTCATCTATACTTTGGCTCTATCTGCTGTTATCACTCTGTCGTTTTCATCTGATGAGATCACACTAAGACTATGCCATCTCACTGCATAAGAGCTAAGAGCTGAAGGGGAGTGTGCAATCTCTTCTCTAATCCTGCTTGATATTTTACAGCAGAAGCAGTCCTGGACGATCCCTCAAGAAACCGCCCTCTTGTCTAAGCACTACTACCCCCTCCAAATTCCTTATCTATAGGATGTTGGAAAATGAGGGAAATTAATAATTGTTGAGTGCCAGGCACTTAACATGTTTTATATCTTTTAATTATTACACCAAACCTCTGAGAAAGGGTTTTTTTTAATCTCCATTTTACAGAGCAGGAAACTGAGTCATGAAGTGATTAGCCCATATTGTCACAGCTAGAGAGTAGCTAAGCTGGGATCTGGATCCAGGTGCATCCACTGCAGAGCTCATTTCAGCTTCCGCCTCCCCAGAATTCGTCCTTCCAGGCACCTGCCTACAGTGAAGGCACCTACAGCAGCCTGTCTGATTAGTGTGCTCCTTTCATAAGGAAGTTTCTGTCTTGATAGAGAATAAAGTGAAAGTAGGAGTTAGAAAAAAGCCTTCAGATCTTCCTTTCGCCTTTAAAGAAGTAAATGACATTTGCCTCAAAGAAAGGTCAAGTGATCACAGGCTGGGAGGAGAAACTGGTCTTCAGGAGAATCAAGGCCTAGGGCGGGGGGAGAACTTACAGAAAAGATCAGAAGCCGACGTAAGTGTGTCAAACAGAAAGTTGGGAGAAAAGGAAAAGATTTCTGCTTCCAAAACTGGACTGAAGCATTCAGACGGCGCCTTGTTCGGTACAAACTTGTGAGTGGGTGGGTTGCGTCTGAATCAGAAGTATGGTTGGTGTGCAGCTTTTCTGGAGAGGGCAGCAGTGGCAGAATGCCCAGATCAGAAACGAGCTTGTCTTTTACTGCACCCAGAAGTCTGTGCTCTCTTTTCCCTTCACTTTGGGGGGCTGCTGGGAGAGATTCTGTCATTTGCACTGCTTAGTGACAAACAGGAAGTCGTGATGAGGAGACAATAATACAGGAAAAATGAGACCACCAGAAAAGCACCGGAAGCAAAAATCTGTTTCTCAGGAGGTGAAATTGCAGTAAACGGAGAGGGTTTCAGAAATTGGACCCAATTAATGTTCTTGACTTGTGTCCTCCTTATCTCTGGGGACCAGGTGTGGTAAATTGGAAAGGGCAGGCCTGGACTTTACGGTGGCAGAGAAATGGGTATAACAGAATAATGGTATAAGGGTATAGTACAGTAATCCCCGTTGAGTCATTTGTAGCTGGGTGTTCTGTGAGCCCCTCCCCCGGGGGCTCAAAGCTGCCATTGTGACTCAATAGCTTAGGTAAAAATGAAAAGTGTGAGCCCCTCCCCCAGGGGGAGCTTTTTCCGTCTTAAAAAAAAAGAGATAATTCCTAGGAAATACAAAGGAACGAGTCTCTAATCACTGACAGTGGAAATGCCAAGTACCTTGGCCCACCAGAGGGCAGAAAGGACTCTCTAGGTAGAAGGTGGGCTGAGCAGCCCTGGTTGGAGGCAGGTTCCCCGGGGCAGGTGTGCGGAGCTCTGGTCTGTTCACCGACATGTTCCTGGGCTGGCTAATTCCTTCCCCAAACATCTGCTTGCTGTCAGATTAGGAGAGCTACACCTGCTTTCCCCCTCTCTCAGGGATGTTGAGAGTTATCGTGAAGGGCCGTAATGAAGGGAACTGGGAGATTCTCGAGACAGATATTGTTTAATTGCTTATGTTGGCTCTGTGAGTAAGCTCAGATGTGGAGAGCTGACAATTGCCTGGGGCATCAACCAAGGTTCTTGGAGGCAAAGGGCAGGCCGCAGGCACAGTCCGGTCAGCTGCTGAATACCCTGCAGCGTGATGGACATGACCTTCAGCCATCTTCCTATTAGGCTGGAGACCGTGCAGAAGCAGGGCGATGGGATGTGGCCCCTAGGGCTTGTGACCACCACCTCTTAAGACTCCCCAAAGAGAGGAGGGGTGTGGACAAGAAGAGAGGATTGAGATCAAACACCTGGATAGCAACGTGTCTCTTACCCTTGTTTAATTTGCTAAGTGTAGTAAGATTAGGCTGGGTAATTCAGTTTGGCAGGAGAATATTTTTAGTTTTTCGGAAGTGTTGCTTTCATTGACTGCTCATTCAATTATGTGGCAACCATAATCTATGGTTCTAGCAGTTCTGTGAAATATACCAGCCTTGGATAAGGTTAAACTTCAGGGACCCCAAAAATGCAATAGCTCAACAGATTGGCTCAGCAGGCAGCTCGCCTCCCCATAATTAACCAGGGACCTGGGTTTGTTTCTTTGTCCAATTTTGAGAGGGCATCTCATCTGGGTTGCAACCAGTGGGAAAGGAAAACCGTATGACCTCTTCTGATCTGGTCTCAAGACACCAGGCTGGGAAGGGGACACATCACTGCCATCATACTTCACTGGAGAGAACTTAGTCACATCTTCTGCACAGAAGGTGGTGAAAGGTCGCATAGCCGGTCAGCCCTGTGCCTTGCTACATTTCCGTTACTATGGAAGAAGGGAAGAATAAAGCCAGCAGTATGTGTCACACTTCCATAGGTCAGTACTAGTTCCTCTTTCTGCAGAGGAGAAAACAGATTAAGAGAGGTAAATGGGCTCATCCAAAGGCACACAGCTAGTTAAGGGATAGCATCGGAGCAATAACATGGGTAGTTTGGCTCCTCGGTTCTTTTCTTTATCCCTACCATTCTCCCAGGACAGTGGGGCAGATCATTTGAAATTAGCACTGCCCTGGAAAAGCTAGGATGTATAATTAATATCAATATATGGAGCCCACAGGGATAAGTGCTAGGCAGTGACAGTACTGTGTCCAACTCCTCTGCCTTCCTCTCTAACCCCGGGTACAAAGTCTCTGAGGTAATAACTGATAACTGCCCTGCCTGCTGGGATGCCAGCCTATGGAGAGCAGATGTGTGCAGACACAGAATCAGACAGAAATAGTGATAACACTCTCTCTTCAGCCTTCTCAGTTTATCTACCTCCACCACAAATGTTTTTCTGTGACCATTCCGGTTCCCATGGGCTTCTGTTATTCTAGAATTCCTTATGCTGTTGGTTGCTCCCTCCCCCAGTGTGATCAGTCTATGGAGAGTAAGAATTCAATGGGCGCGAGAGACCCAGATTGAAGCAATTATTTTTGTCATCTCCGCATTGGCATGCACAGCCACTGCCACCCTGGCCACCTCCCTCCCACCAGGACTTCTACAGGAAATCCCTGACTTTGTGTAATGTGAATCAGATCTCTCCAAGTATCACCAGCCTGTGGGCTCAAGCTCAGGATTCCTTAAATTCAGAACTAAATCTTCTTAGTTCTTGGTCTGAATGATTCATAAAAGCATGTCTGGTTCTTTGGAAAATCCCAGCCCCAAAGCCCTTCTGGGAGTCTCTTAGTGGGGGCAAGGGTTTCTTACATATGTTCTTGATTCAGGGCCACCCTCTCTGCCTCTGTTGCTCTGACATGCACCCACTCTGGGTCCTCTGTCCTGCCAAGGTAAAGACACTCAACCCACATTGCTCCAAGTCCTTTCTGTCTCAAGCCCCCTGATCTGCCAAGAGTTGGACCAGAGAAACACTTCCTCCATCTGTTTTACTCACTTTGGGGCATGACCACAGCAAGGTTGCTTGGGCCCCAAGGTGTTGCTGAGTCCAGTGAGATGGCTCTTTCAGTTATACACACTTCCCAGAATGTACGTATACCTGTATACGTGTTGACCCTGGGCACAGATGCTCATTCCATATGTTCTCTCACCTTACAATGAATTTTTGTGTCCTGCTCCTCTGTAGTTGGCTTCCTTAGAGTGTCCTTCCACCCCCAAGTTGTCAGACAATTCAGTGTGTATCCGATCCTCAGGCACTGACAAGATTTACGTTCCTTTTCCAGGAGGAACCTTGGGTAATAGAGCCCAGGGAAGGAGATGAAGTCACAAATCCTTACTCAGAGCTGTATCCAAATCTAACTCCAGTCCATCACATCATCCGTGCCCCCCCACCCACAGGTCTCCACTCAGAGGAATGCCTTCCTTTAATGCAATGCTGTATTAGTGTTTTAGATGCACAGCCTTTCAGTCATAGCTATTGCTTTCTTTCTGGGCTGCATCCTCAGATACATTGAAATAAAGGAGCTATTTATGCACAGACTCTATGGCTGTAGAAATTATCCAGTAGCCCAGATGTCTGTCTTTATGGAAAATTATTAAATTGTCCTGTCAATTTCCAAAAAGACCACCACAAAAAACCTTTGATGGAGGAAAGCTAAGTTTATTAGACTCACTGCCATAAAGGAGAGTACTACTTTGACAGTCTCAGTAGTATCTCAGAGAGGGAAATCGGGGAAGGATATTTTTAGTATATTAGACACAGGGCTGGGTGATTTAAGGCGGGTCTTACAAGGCAGACAACTAGTTAGGATTGAGTGGAGTTTCGACATGAAAGCTTTACATTGATGATTACACAAAGCAAGGGTTTTAGAGTATTGATAAGTAAGTTGTTAGTCTTGATAAGTGAGCTGTTTTAGTTGGTTCACAGTGCTAACTTCCAGAAACAACTCTTTTCTGGAACAAGTAGCTAAATTACTCTTGCCCAGTCCTAGTCTTATTTAGCAAAGAAACAGGAAAATAAATTTCAGTTCCAAAAATTTTGGCACGTTTGTATCACACATGTAACTATAAGTTGTCTTGTATTTTTTTTCCATTAAGTTTCTCATGATGGCACCTCCAAGTTCTTGGTAATTTTGCGGGACTTTGTTCACACCACTGTTTTGGTGCATGGTTCTTCCAACTTTTCTCCTTTACACTCTCTTGGGAGAGGGGGTCTTTGGTAAAACAGAGTCAAGAGACAAGGACGTAATTCACTAAAGTTAATCCTTGAGAAGCTATCATATTAGCAAAAGAAAAAAGGTGATTTATTTATGAATCTGAAGGAACCAAAGCCTCTTCAGCAATTCCAAGACATGCGGGATTTGACGCTGCCCCTCCAGATGGAGCTGGATCTTGGGGGGAAATTAGAGAAGTTCAACAAAATCAAGGATACTATAAGGAAGAAGAGTAAGAGAGACCAGAGAAAGAAAGATCACCTGGTTACTGATAGGCAACTGATGAGTGACTTAATGGGAAAAGTAGAAGAATATTCTGCTTCATCCTTTGGAACTACACACAATTAGCCTGTGTGCCTGCCTGTTCCTTTGCTAGATTCTGAGATCCAAGAGGGTCTTCATATCCCTATTGCCTACCAAGGTGACATCCCTTCATAATAAGGAGTTTTGAACAGACTTGATTATGAGGCCGACTTCCTCCACTTACAGAGGAAGAATCAGCATTCCTGTCAACTGCACACAATTGGATACATTTTTTGTTTAGATGTCCAAAATTATTCAAAGGTGGCTGTACCCCATTGTATCTATCTTCGTGGTCTAAATTTGGCAGTCATATATATTAGCCTGTAATCCACCTCTCTTAGTCCTTCATCAGGTGTCTCTTCAAAATGTCTTTTGAAGTGCAGCATCATTATATCATTTTTACTAATACCAGTCTCAGGACCGATTTTCCCTCTGGCAGTTTCCGTAATTGGTGATTTGGCAACACTGGGTTTTTTCTTCCAACCTGCTTGTTTCCTTCACTTAAAGCAAATTCTGTCAAATGAATAAGTGCCTATAGCACAATTACCAAGCATAAAACGAAACCACAAATAGGCATTAGCTTACCAGGGTAGTGCCTAGTATATTAAAAAGAAAGAGACAGGCATATGAGATTGACAAGAGAATAGAGCATTTCATTTTTTCATTCTGTTTTATTGCTGCAATATCCAATTTGATGGCCTCCAGCTTTCACAGCATCAGCTTCCTGCAATGACACTAATGAAGAAATGCTGCTTTTTGTTTATTCTTTAAGCAACTGTGTTGCTCTTTAATGGGAATATGGCACTTTCCCCCCATTCATGCAGAGTTATGAGCAGTTGAGTCTCTAGGCTCCCTCTGATGTGTACAGCACTCTGTTCCCTTTAAGATTTCTCTGACTGGATGGTAAGTACACTTTTCTGTCAATAAATTCAATGTTCTAGATATTTCAAAGTGTGGGCAGAAATGAGGATCTTTTCCAGCTTGGAAAAAATTAAAAAGTCCAAGAAGGAAGAGGGATCACTTTATTTTTTATCTCATTTCTCTGCTGTGTGGGATATACTGTTTTAATTATTTCCTAATCATTTTCTTCAGTCTGTTCCCTATGAAGGCACTCACATTTATAACCATTTTGGTTAATCATTCGCACGTGACTGACTTCCAACTAGTTTCTCATTTAAGCAGAAAGTTATTCTGTCACTTTGCCAGAATGTTCACTCTGGCTTGATTTCCCATGGGGCTCATTTAGTTTCTTCTCTGCTTTCTTCTTTGGGTTCCTTCTGCTTGCCCAGAAGTGTCGAATTTGATCTTATGTCAGCTCTCAGAGACTCCAAAATAAATGAAGGCTGGGTTTAAGCTGCCAGAACAGTGAGGGCAGTGAGGCACACCTACCGTTTTCAACTCGGTTTGATCCCCTATCATGAAATGTAGCTGAGTCCTAGGCTTGGTTCAAACCAGCTGAGACATAACCCAAAGTCACTAACACAGCAGAGCGGCTTCAAGATCCAGGAACAAAGGGAATATCTTCCAGAGAGCAGGAAGCTAAGTAGGTTACCCTTTTCCCCAACTTGGGAGCATTTTATTTCCACAGGATAATGGACAGATTTTGATGTTTCCACACACAAAATTAATCTATCCCACAAATTAAATAGAAATGGATGGGTATTTCAAATGAAACTTCTCATATTACATCAAAATAGGTAAAAAGATTAAGAAATTTCCTTTCAGTTGTGGAAAGAGAAAAACTAATACAATGTTTTAATAAAAAACTCTATTTTTCAAATGTTACTGAAACTGTTGAGTATTAATGCCTAGCAAAGTCTTTCTAACATTATTATCATGATTACTATTGCTGTTATTAGCAATTCAAATTAACAAACATTTATTGAGTCACTGTTATAAAAGACGGGAAGAAAATAACAAAATTAAATGACTTAGTCCTTGAATTAAGAGGCCAGCAAGACTACGGGAGAAAGGAACATGTAAATGGCTAGCTATAGAGCAATGTGGAATGGCCTAAGTTCTAAGTAGGTAACCCAGAGGAAGGAATAGGCAATTCTGACTTGGACTATTGGTGAAAGGAGCCATTGGTAAGCTGGGCATTGAGGCATGCAAACGGTTTTGGACGGTGAAAATTTGTTGGATTTTTAGATTGAGAGGATTGCATAACTAAAGCCATATGGGCAGGAAAGTGAATCCACACATTCAGGGAGTGAGTGGTAGCCTGGTGTGCCTGGAGCAGAGGGTTGTAGAGGAGTGGATAGACAAACAAGGCTGGAGACATAGCTTAGGGTTGGCCTGAGTGCCACTCCAGTACTCTGTTTTTTAAGGGGGTACCTTGATGTGCTATAAGGAATGTAGCAGAGTGAGCAAGATTTCAACTTCCAACTCCAGCATTTGATAGCTTCGTGAACTTGGGCACCAGTTTTTGGATCCCTAAACTGAAGATAATAATAGTAGTTACCACCTAAAGTGATAAGACCAAAGATCAAACACATATGAAAGAACTTAGCCCATTTCCAAGCACTAAGTAAGCTCTCAATAAAGAGCAGCTATTATTACTAGAATTACCTTAATATGATAAACAGATGATTTTAGCAGATATTCAGAATTAATTGGAAATACAAGCAAGGTGAAGAGAAAACAAAGAATTGCTTTGGAAGTTGTTGCAATGGCCAAGATGTTGAAGGGAAAGTTGGATAGGGGATAAAGATAACACAATTTGGTGACTTATAGGATGTGAAGGGTGAAGAAGAGTATAAAATAAATCCAAGTTTTTAGCTTGAACGATTGAGAAGACCATAGACTGTAGTGCTATTATTTGAAAAAGAACTTAGGAGAAGCAGCAAGTTTGGATTATTGATGAGGAAAAGGGATATTCAGTTCAGTTTCAGACATGATGAGTGTATTCGTTTCTTAGGGCTGCTGTAACAAAGTACCACAAACTAGGTACCTTAAAATAACAGAAATATATTGTCTCATAGTTCTGGAGGCTAAAAGTCTGAAATCAAATGTCAGCAGAGCCATGCTGCCTCTGACACCTGTGGGTAAGATTCCTTCCTTGCCTCTTCTAGCTTCTAGCTTTGCCAGCAATCTTGGCATACCTCTGCTTGTAGCTTCATCACTCCAATCATCGCCTTCATCATCACAAGGCTGTCTCCTCCCTGTGTGTCTATGTCTCTTCTCCTCTGATAAGGACACTAGTCTATGTATTAAGGGCCCACCCTACTCCATTATGACCTCATCTTAACTGGTCTCATTACAATGACCCTATCTCCAAATAAAGTCACACTCACAGGTAGTAGGGGCTAGGACTTCAACATATCTTTTTGGGGAACTCACTTCAACCCATAACAGTGAGTTTCAGATACCTATGGCGATCAAGGTAGAGAAGTCCAATGGGCAGTCAAGATATGCAAGTCTGGAGCTCAGGAGAGAAGTCAGAGATATAGATGTGTAGTGGAAGAATCATCACCTTGAGGTGACAGTTGAAACATGGGAGTGACTATATGAAATTGGTCAGAGAAAGAATATAGAGTGAAAAGAAGGAAAAGAGTACAACCTCGTGTAATTCCTCTAATAATTAATGGCAGCCTCTGTTCCAGGACAGGCCAAGAATTGCTGAGGGTGGGTTTGGTGGAGGGTAGTTACTGAGTGAGGACTGAACCAGAATTGGCATGAGATAAGGGCTGACAGCAAGAATAAGCCCTAAGCAGTCTACCTAAGATATGGAGTTGGATGTGACATCAAGATTTGTGAGTAACAGTAAGTCATGTGGACCAGAAAACCACATGTACAACAGAAAGCCAATTTCTGCTTCCTGAAAAGAGCTGGACCAGATAGTTATGCAGAGCAGTGGTTCTCAAAGTGGGTCCCCTGGACCAGCAGCAGCAGCACCTGGGAGCAAGTTAGAAATGCAGATTCTCAGGCCCCACGCTAGACCTACTGAGTGAGAAACTTGGGGCCAGGGCCCAGCAATCTGGGTTATAACAAGCCCTCCAGGTGACCCTGATGTGCACGGAAGTCACTAAACCACCGTTGTCAGGCAGTGTCAAGTCCCGGTTCACGGCCTGAGAAACCAAAAGTAAGAGGAGCACTGCTGGGTGGGACGTTTCACAACAAAGTGCTGCCCAGTGGGGAAGTCCAGGGCTTTGAAGATTATTTTCTCTCTAAGTCCAGCAGAGTTTTAAGTTAACAAAATGATTAATAACAGCTGAAAATTAGTGCGATGGCGTCTGACTGTATCTTTGCATTTTAACTTATTTTCATATAAGGGCAAGCACGGTTATTAGAGATTAGTTTTTATTCTGTTTATTGGTATAAACAAGGCCAATATTATAGGATAATGTAATTGGGACATAAGGTCATTCCTTTAGACAAGTGCGAATGGCATATCCCTGGAGGGGTGCGAGATGATCCATTTGGGGAGTGAAAAACTATGTCAGGACTTATCTATCTCAAGAAATAAGGAAGCGATTCAGGTTAACTAACCTTTAATATACAAATCAACCTGGCACCCTCAGTTAGTCTGTCAAATGAACGCATTCCTCTGGTTTTTCTAGAGAGGAAGTGGGAATTCCATAAGGCCAGGGGTTAACAGTGGAACCCTCATTCATTCAGTTCCATTCATTTTGTTCCAACAAACTGCAGTTTACATGTGCCTGGTTAAGTGGATTTTTGGACTGCATTGTCTACTTTTACCTAAAGTCATCGTACCCTAAATAGACAAGTTACTTTCAAAAAGAAAGTGTGGACTGAAGTTCAATTTTAATAGTGAAAGTGTAAGGGAATAGTGAAAAAAGTGAGAGCAGCAGCTTGGTTCAGTAGATAAGAACAAGAATTCTGGACCCAACCACCTAGCAACTGTGTGACTTTGGGCAAGTTACTTAACCTCCTAACCTCTCTGTGCTATAGTTTTCAAATGTGTAAAAAGGAGATGATAATAGTACCCACCCCCCAAGGCTTTTAGGAGAATTACAAAGTCAATATTTTTGAAACACTTAGGAAGGACAGTGCCTAGTATAGAGCAAACTATACGAGTTTGTTATAATAAATAGCTTGAATTCTTTGCCAGCAACATTACAAAATAAAAACAAGGATCTAGTTAGGTCTAATAAAAAGTTAGCCAATATTTTTTCTAATTATCAAGAAGACTATTGGAATTATGGATTTAAATCCATTGTCGTTAAACTATGAACCTAGCCCTAGTGTATATCGCACTTTTAGATCTTGGGCAATCATAGTATGAAGTCATCACAGTTAAAACTATACTCGAGGGGCCGGCCCGGTGGGGCAATGGTTAAGTTCACACATTCCGCTTCGGCGGCCCGGGGTTCGCCGATTCAGATCCCAGGTGTGGACATGGTGTTGCTTGGCAAGCCATGCTGTGGTAGGCGTCCCACATACAAAGTACAGGAGGATGGGCACGGATGTTAGCTCAGGGCCAGTGTTCTTCAGCAAAAAGAGGAGGATTGGCAGCAGATGTTAGCTCAGGGCTAATATTCCTCAAAAAAAAAAAAAATTATACTTGAAAGTGTTATTTCATCTATATCTCATTTTTTTAAAGGTCTGTTTTTGTGTATGTCTTATAATGTACACAATATATTAGGACGTTTGTCCTTTTATACAATTTATACATAAATAAACGTATGTTGGTGGTATGTATTTAAAAGTGTTTTGGGTTCGAATGTGTGTGTATTTGGTTTTGTTTAAACTGATAGCATACACAATAAACAAAATTAGAGGAAACTCCTGTGGAGCAGAGGTTGGTTGGCACACTGTGTCCACGAGCCAAATCCAGCCCACTGCCTAATTTGTAAATAAAATTAATTGCAACACACACACACTCATTTGTTGTCTGTAGCCACTTTTGCCCTACCATGGCAGAACTGTGTAGCTGGGACAGAAACTGTACGTCCCACAAAGCTGGAAATATTTACTCTGTGGCCCTTTACAGAAAAAGTTTGTTAACTCCTGGGCTAGAGCACTCTTTGCCTACTAGTAGCTTCATTGAATTGTGGTCATCAAATCTAGGATGAATCAGATAACCTCAGAAAATCCAGCCTTGCAAGGACAAACCTGCAAACTTGTGGCAGACATCACACCCACACAAGTGAAGGCTGTGACACTGCGGCGGAGAACAAACATCCCTTGTCCCCAGCCACCGGCTTCTCCGTGGGGAGGAGAGCTACTCTAGCGACTGAGAAATTGCAGAGTTCCACACTGTCCTGGGATTTTCTCTGGAGCTGGAAAGGTGCTCCCTAAGGACTTCTTTCATGTTTGCCTTGCAGGCTGTCAGCCACAGAACAGTGATCTGCTTGGACCACATGTAAGGAAGAGTTTGAGCAGGTGTGGGCGGTTGGCAGCAGGAAGGTTTGTTCCTTTCATTATGATCGTACCTGAGGCACCAGACTAGAAAAACATGCCCAATCCTTTGGATCACTTATTAATAGGACAGTTCAGATCACAGATACTGTCCCGCCACCATATGCAATCAAAGATAAACTGGAAAGACAGGAAGTGAGATTTTTGGCCATGTCTCTGTGTGTTTTTCGTGGAATCTACTGTTTTAGAGTTATTTTTGTTTTACTAACGGCCTTGGCCTGAGAAATCAGTCAAACACAAAGAAAATAAGAATTGTTTGTTAAAAAGGATTGACAATTCAGTAATGGATGGGTCGCTTGGCACTATGGCCTTTAGGTGACTGGAAAAGATGAACCAGCTGAAGGACTTGATTCAGTGATGCCATATCCATAGTCTGCAGCTCCTCAGAAGTTGGTCTTCCAGCACTCAGATAAACAAAACCAGGAAATTCACCTGAAAAAGCAACCACTATATCCCTCAAACGTTAACCATAGAGTGGTTTGACTTTTATTGTCAAAATCCATCATTTATTAGATAGCAGATCTACAAAAACAAATCATTTTTTAATGTATACAATCTTTTTTTTTTTTTTAAAGTTTAGCTGTGTACATTGAATGTTGAGAACCAAGACTTCACTGAGTCTCAGGATGCCACAGATAACATTGTCCGTGACATAACGACAACATGAGACAGCTAAAAAGCATGAAAAATGAAAACTTCGGGATGTCCTGGTTACTGGCAGTGACAAGGATACTGTTTGTGAATCCTATAAACAACACGACTCTTTCTCTACAGGTATAGAAGATTGGTTGTCTAAACTCGGGAGAAGACACCAGAGCTAGTATAAGAAAAGGCTAAAGTATCAGGCGTAAGCAGCACCTGGAAGGAGCTCCATTTCTTAGGCGCTAACTGTCAGCACAGGGAATGGGCTTTGCTCCTGAGAGAAGCTGTTTGCTGTTTATTCCTAATGATGGTTAATGTGTGAACAAGCCAGACTCCCAGAGCTCTAACTGATATCATCAATGATGCTGGTACACAAACAAAGACGCTAATGAAGCGGAGCCATGTGACTCCTGCTTTGAAAACGCCTGTGGCAGAGGCAGGAGGGGAAGAGCTTGGCTAAATGAAGTCATTTCTAAGAGCAGTAGATAACAGGTTAGCATTAGAACAAAGCAATGGCTGCAAACCATTACATATTTAAATTCCCTTCACTTTGTGTGGCAGGAAAATTTTACTTTATCACTTTCTCCTCTGACATGTCAAAATACATAAGCTTTCGAGTCCTTAGGGCCTGTGTTCTCCGGTCAAAACATAAGAGGCCGGACATCCAAGGGGGCATTTTGATGCCAGGTGATGGACAAGTAGGACATTCAGCAAACATCTCTGTCACTCATCCTTCCTCCGTCCACAGAGATGATTGCATACGTCGTCTGTGCCAGTCTCTCTGCTTGGCTACGTGCATGTTCCATGTTGACGCTCCTGCCTCAATGACTCATTCTGCCCAAAGACCATTAACGTTCTGGAGAGCTATAGAAATGGAGCTATTCTGGTGGCCGGGTAGGGGGTGGGGGAGCCTGAATCTCTGCATGTTTTGCCACCCTCAAGAAAATGACTGCCCCTAATTATAAAAAATCATGGGGAGAGCAGTTGACTGAAACCACTGCAGATGGCAGTTATTTCTCTAAACAGCCTAAAAGAGTAGGTCACCCTAGCTAATACACTAACAGCATACTTTTCTGTATATGCAATTTCCATCACATTCTCCAAATGCTTGCGTGCTGACTGATGTCTGCACTGAGCAAGAAAAACAGC